GGGGGGGGGGGGGGGGGGGGGGGGGGGGGGGGGGGGGGGGGGGGGGGGGGGGGGGGGGGGGGGCACAGCACGTCGTACGGTCGTAAGAAATTCAGGCAGGCAATCAGGGAAGGGCATCAAGACCACACCGCATGGAAGAGACAGTTGTTGTGTCGAAGGGGAGAAAAGACGGGGGAAGGACAAAGACACAAAGGTAGTCACTGTTTTTCCGGCTGCGTTGTTTGTCTGGGCGGGATTGGGTGGAACTCTTCACGCCCGTACGAGCTTTCCGCGAAGCATTCCGTCCGTACGAGCATTCCGCGAAGCATGTCGTGCCAAGGGTGGTTGAAAGGGAGGGAGGGAGGGAGGGGGGGCAATGGGGCTTTCTCTTTTGCCAACAGCAGTGCCCTGCGGCTTCTTGGTTGAGAGGGTTTGCTAAGGAGGGGGGGTGTCTACGCGATCGTCTAGCGCGGGGGAGCGTGTTTAAACATTTCTTGCTAAGGAGGGGGGGTGTCTACGCGATCGTCTAGCCACGGGGCCGCTACGGCGGTGCTGTCTGTCTCACGCACGGGGGCTAGTTGACCCGTGGTGATGTGTGTGCCGTGGACATTATGAGTAGCGCGTCCTTCGGTCGTGCGCGAGACAATGACGATGATATGCCAAGCGATGGTTCGTAGCTAGCTTGGAATAGGCAGAGGAAGGTGACAGAGAGAAAAGAGAGGCTGATATTTCGCAGGCATGCCTTCAGATTACTCTCTTGAGTTTATTTAGTCATTTCTGCCCTGTTTTGTCGCTACATTCTTGAGTGGGCGTATATATTTCGCTAGAAATAGCCTACCTACATATTGATGGCTTGTTTGTTTGTTTTTTTGCCGGGAGTGGGTTGGCTGGCTTTGGCCGAGCCTCTGCATTGTCTTGGTTGGTGAAATGTAATCTTACTTATTCCAGAAATGAATTTAGGTTTGTTTCAAGAGAAGAACTGAGACTTTTGCTTTGTCGTAACGTGCGTCAACCTACGGAGAGTCGGCATTGCATGCATGAACATGTTTTTGCTTTGTTGTTCATTTTTGCGATGCGTGCCTGAACGATGAATTGTTTCTCGTGCTCTGTGTGTTCGGGTGATGCACTATACGTGTTAACAAGGAACGCGCGTCGACTTCGAGCTCTGTGCCATAAGAACATTCTCGAAGACTTGCCCGGTAGTTGGATTGTGGGAGATGAAGCGGGGGTAAAGGTTTTCACTTCGCGGATAGTTACAGGGCGGCGTGTTCTGATTGCATATTAGGTAGGTGGTGAGTGGATTATTCAAAGATTCGGAACCAACCGGCAGTTATTATTTTTCTGTGTTTCATGGCATGGGCCTTGTCCCGCAGTTTGTTTGTTTTTCAACTGTCTTCCGTGTTCTGCACGGAATCTCAAGCCAGCGTTGCACAGAGAGAGAGAAAGCCAGGATGTTAAGAGCAACCGCGTGTATCGTGCTTGGTGCGCACAAAATTCTGTCTGCCTATAATCGATGATGAGATGCTTGCACTCTCAGCGTGATTCAGCAGCACCAACGGTCCTGCGACTTGTCAACAGGGCGACCGGATAATCTCGTAACAACTAGGCACAGTCACGCCTGCCTCCTGCCTCCGGTCGGCAAGGCGTAATCTAAATCGTAACGCCGTCTTGTTGAACTGGTAGATTACGAAAACACGGGGAAGCCCCACTGAGACTCACAGTTCGGCCGATCATTCCCAGCCGGTTAGTGCGATCGATGGTAGCCAACAAATAAAGACAAACCCCTCCACCCAGCCACCAGACAGATATGCGTGAGGCACGAAACAGGTGGCAGCATGCGGCCATCTCACACACTTCGTCGGGTGTGTTGGCGGAAGTGGAGTAGTTCACCCGAGGCGAAAGAGGGCGAAAGTGCCGAGAAATACCTCGCACGTGGTCGCCCCGGTGGTCTCGTCGTGTGTTCGTGAACCGCTAGTCGCAGAGTTCGTGAGTTCGAATCCCCACGCGGTGAAAAACTTTCCACATTTGCGGATGAAAGTGAAACATAGCTGAAAGGCCCTCGTGAGTACCAAATTCGACGTTAGCACCGTTGAAAAACATAGCTGAAAAGCTCTCGTGAGTACCAAACTTCGACGTTAGCACCGTTGACGAGGACAAGGGACGGCTGGACCATTCTCTCAATAAAAATAACATGCAGCACGCACCGCAGGAGGAAGGTGGGGCATGAAAATAAATAAACAGAAGAGAGAAGCCCTGCCTGGTGTTTTCTCCCTCCTGTGTGACCCTGGAAGGTTGCAGTTTACGAAAAAATACATTGACAAGTGTATGTAGTACTCTACATACGCTGAAAAAGTGTAGTACACGTCTCACCACCAAAAAAAGTGGGGGGATTGTCGCCATAATCAATATGACGAGAACACACACACACCCACGTGTAGGACTGCGGCGGCGGCGGATGGTACGTGCGATCAGCGTCATCCGCAATCAATGTAGTCAGTTGCCGTTGGCAGCTGGAGACAAGATAAGGTAGATTGATACGGATGGGTGGTGAGTGTGTATATGTGCGGGTGGGCTTCTTTGCCCTTCTCGCCGTGCCTCTCATCTTCTCTTCGCGGAAGGTGTCTCCACCGGGGAAGCAAGTCATTCCCGCGACGTCAGGCATCGAGCACACCAACCACCCATCACGGGATGGATGCCTGGTGAGCTCCGGACATCAACACACATACTCTACAATACATGAGCGGCGAAAGTGCCGAACGAACGTCCCGCGTGTCGCTCCGAAGGAAGCGAGCGGTAGAAAAGATTCACACGCATTCACTAGACATACCGCCGCAGAGAGCTGGCTGTCTGTGATGATCTAGAATTACAAGCGAACCAACCAAAGTCAGAGAGGGATGGTTGTAAAGTGCCACGTTCTGGAATTAAAAAGGACGAAGGAAGGAAGATGAGATCACAGGCAGTGTCACGGTGTTCGCGAGCTTTACGCATCGGTGGTTGTTGGCCTGAAAAAATCACACCAACCACCTATTATCGTCATTGTTGTGTGTGAAATTTGATCGTGAAACTTCATTGTGAACGAATGAATGGCAGCTGCTGTAGCAGCACTGGGTTTGGCGACGGCACCCACCCAGGGTGTGCACCATTTTTTTTTATCATATCAGCGTGCTGGCCTCTCGTATCATACAGTAGTGTTGCAGCATTCCTGCTTGTGCTCTGTGGGTCGATTCAAACGTTCAAACCGGACTATGGGCGAGGAGGACCCAGAGGAAGATCTGTCGAGAGCGGTGGATACAGCTAGTGTACTCAATATCCGGTTCGTGGTTGACACAAGATACCACGCCCTTTACCGATTTTCAAAGCTAGCTCCATTTCTCCAAAGCAGAGACAGTAGAGTGGCAGCGCCGAAAACGGCGGCGTTGAAGCCGTCTTCGTACAGAGCTTTCCCAAAACCTTTCGTTTAAGTACAGGACTCATCTTCTCCGTGGAGTTACACAACATGCCTCAGCTATTCTCCCGCGCGGATGAATTCCGCTTAGGCTATGATGATCTTCCCTTCCTGGCAGTGCTCCACAACAGAAGAGGAACCATTGATTAACGCGCCACGATAGGTGGGCGGGGCGTGTGATGAGAGAGCTCAGGTCGCGCACCGTAGGACGACAGGACGACACATCTTGCCGGCAGGGTGCTGCGCATGCGTAAAGGCCCCTAAGTAAACACGCCGCCAGAGGACGACAAACCCTACCCTCATTCTGCGGAGCCGCTTAGCTGTGCCGGGGACATGGTGTGCTCGTGCATCATGTCTGACACTGCAGCTCTCGTTGGCGCGAACCTTGAGGTATGTTATCCAACAAAGATGGCAATGCGATGGTGCGGCTCGACAGTAAGGGCTTGATAGGGTTGGGTAAGCTTCTGGCGTTTCAGATGATTCGGACTGCTGTCGACGCGTGGCGGTTGCGCTAGGGATGTGCGGATAACATGACTCTCACCTGCTGTTGTTGGTGCTGCTTGTTAAGGACCGGTGGCGTGCTCACGTGTCCGACTCCGCGATGTGAACTCTGGGTCGCATCGATAACGCCTTGCCACCCAATCCTGTGCTCTTCTTCATCTCTCCGGTTGTGTGTGTGTATGTGTGTGTGTGCAGGGAGATGCACTCTCACACCCAGTGCCACCACACGCCGCTGCAACTGCAACATCCAAGTGACACCGCCGCAAACGCTACTGCCACAAGAGCAGCTACGATCGCTTCTCGCAGCAGAAGGGGGAGGGGAGGCATCCTTCGCCTGGGAGCAGCTGCCATGGTCGTGTCGTCTCTGCCCGCCTCCTACGCCTTCGGTCTAGTAGCGGCCGGCAGCGGCGCAGCTGCCGCTGCGGTAGGCGGGCGCGCCGGGGCCCCTAACCTCACGCGCTGCTTCTCGTCCAGGCTGTCGGCGCTGCCAAAACACAGCGGCAGCCAGTCAACGCCGGGCGGGTTTGACCGCTCGCGGAGACTGAGCGCCTTCGGGGTCTTCGCTGCGGGTAAGGGGCGGACGATGACTGCCGGCCGCCGCAATAGCAGGCGGAGCCACGCTGGTCCCCTCCCTTTGTGGACGAGCGCGAAGAGCAGCAGTAGTGCCTTCTACCCCAACGGCTGGAGGGTCCAGGGCGGCGGTGGTGGCCGGGCACGCCGGCGGGGATTGTGCTCGACAACGAGCGACGTAGCAGCGGCAAGTGAAGGCGGCGGCGGCGGCGGCGGCGGCGGTGCCGCCGTTCCGGCTGCGGTTGCCGAGAAGAAGCCTGCCAAAGCGGACAAAAAAAAGGGCGGCGGCGGCGGCGGCGGCGGGGGGAGCGGGGGGAGCGGGGGCGGGAAGAAAGGAGGCAAGGCGGGCGGGGGGAAGAAGAAGGGGGGTGCCCCGGCAGAGGACACTCCGGTGGCGGAGTTACGCGCGGTGAGAGGGAGGAAAAGCACCACACGTAGCCGTGTCGCTGGCGGTACAGTTGGTGTGCCGGGATCAGCTACCCTACCCCTATTTAGTGTCGGAGGGAACTTGGTCGCTACTCAGGGCCTGTCTTTGTCGCCGGTTGTAGCGGCTGTGAGTCGGGCTGCAGTGGTGCCACGCGCGATTTTGTGATTATCGCTAATATTGCAGAGCATGTCGCTAAACAGGGGGTCGCTAAACCTGGCCCACCACTGCTGGTTTGTTTCGTATGCACGCCGTTGTTGAGACTTGTCGTTCACGAAGAAGCCATGGTTTTGTCCATCAAGACATTGCAGTCTGCGCCTTGTCTTGGCGATATGCTTCCGTGGTGGCATATATCCATGTACCCAGAGAGAGGGTGACAACACTGTTAACAGCTCGTGTGGGGAACCCGCACGCTCACCAATATGGTTTATCAGACAGCAAGGCAAGCGCGGGGGTGACGCGGGTACAATGTGACACCATACGTTACACGGCATTTTGGGAGGGTAGAGGGGGATCCGCGACAGCAGCAGTGCTACCCGCTTGGTAGAAACACGATACAGCAGCACCACCTATTGCCCTCGGGCACATACCCAGCGCAAGCCGCACATATCACCTGTCCCCGGTGTGCACTGGCCTCGCTTAGGGGTTGGAATATAGTGTTGCGGTTCAAACGCGAAGGGAACAAAGTGCACAAGTGTTGCATCAAGGCTAATCCATATAGGCTACGTTTAGTCAGCGTGTTTGGATTTTGGTGTTACCGTTCAAATCAGGAAGCACACAATGTTCTCAATTCCATTGGACTGCCCCGTCAGCGCCGGCTGGGCATGTAAGGTGGCCGTAGCTGGAAAGCCAAGAGCATATGTTTTGTTAGATAAACGGCTAATCCATTGGACCACGCTGTCAGCGCTGACTGGTCGCAGTCAAATGAGTTCGCCTTACCCAACAAGAAGGACCGCGCCGTGTCTTGCTTTGTCTGACAGTTTATTTCGACAGAGTCGTAAGGTGGCCTCATCATCACCCGTCAGTCTTAAACGAGACCATCCGGTGCTGTTTCCATTTCTCCGGCCGAAGATTATGGCTAATCGACCGGCGTTAATCCCTTGTTGTTGGTTAGGTTCGTATCGGGAAGGCGGAGGAGATACGCGCGGCCGGCGGGAACCCGTACGCCTACAGGTGAAAAATTGCTCTGTTCTCTCGAGGATGCATGGTGAATGATCTCAGAGCTAAGGCATGCAAACCGTGAGCACGCCCCCCCCCCCACTTCCCACCGCTGCTCCTGCTGTCAACCGCAATCGAACACTTACAATATAGCTGGGACGTGACCCACTCCAGCAGCGAGCTGCAGAAGCAGTGGGAGGGACTGGAGGCAGGCACCGAGGACGAGGAGGCCGAGGTGTCGGTGGCGGGGCGAATCATGGCCCGAAGAGTCTTCGGCAAACTGGCCTTCTTCAACATGCAGGTGCGTTGAAGCCGTTATTTGCAATTCGGAGCGTCCTCACGTTGGGGGG